CCCGAGGGCTACAGAAAAAAAGACAGACTTGCCAGAGGTGCCACAGCTGGTGGAGCTGGTGTTGAACCAGGGCTTTCTGTCTCTTTGGGTTGGGCACTGGGAGGTACTAGGCTGGACATAGCTCCTTGCAGTGGGGAGGCCTCAGTTGAGTAGGTGTCCCAGGTCCAAGGAGGAAGCCAGCCGAGACAGAGTGAGAGAAAAGAGGAGGACGTGTGCCAGCTTGGGGTGGGAGGGCAGGGGGAGGAAAGAGGGAGGGGAAGCTTGTAAGAGCAGGCGGAGACTAACAGATTCAATCCCTCCCCTTGCCTGGGACTTTTCTCTGCCTTGCGTTCTTCGCGCGTGTTTCTTTTGCCCGTGAATACTGTTCCCATTGCCTTAAGTCCAATTTCTCCCGCATGGCAGCACGATTGGACTCAACTCAAATGTCACCTCCCCGGAAAGACCCTCCCTGGCCACCTGAATAAAGTGCCACATGCGTGTTCCCAACACACACACACATGCACACACACACATGCACACACACATACACACACATGCACACACAACACACACATATATGCACATACATGCACACAGACATATACACACAATACACATATGTGCACATACATGCATGCACACACGCGTGCTTGCACACACATGCACACATGTGCACACACAACATGCATATGTGCACACACATGCATGCACACACACGTACCACACGTGCACACACACATGCGCAGACACTCGCGCGCATACATACACACACACACACACTGTATATCTCCGTCTGCTATTTCACACTTAGGCACTATCTTACTCATTTGTCACTGTTTGCCGGCCCCGCCCCCAACACACACCTGCAGCTGCTTGGAGACAAACCCTTCCTTCCCAGGCCCAGGCTTCTTTACCCCTAGTGCAATCATATTTATTTGTTAGTTGAATGAGTGACTTGGGGACGCAGGAGGATCAGGAAGGGAGCAGGTGGGCTCGGTAGCCTGATGAGAGGAAAAGAAGGAGCAAAGAGTCAGGCTGGACCAGGGAAGGTGGGGGAGGAGAGGCCCAAGCCAAGGAAGCAGATGGGCAGAATCGTGAGGGTGCCGGAGGGGTCTGATGACGTAGGGCTTGCACCTTGAAGAGCCTGGGTAGGGAGTACATGGTGGTGTGTGTGAGCATGTGTGCATATAATCCCCTCAGCTCAATCTCCAAAACCACACACATGCACACACACATGTGCGCACACGTGTGAACATACACATACACACACCAGAACGCTCTTATTGCTGATGTGAACACCTTTGACTTTAAAGAGCCAGATGGAAGCTAGGGGATTGGATCAAATGCCCCACACAGCCAAGGAGGCTTCGGAAGGTGACAGGAGCTCTTCCTAATCTCCTGAATCCTCCCAGGTGCTCAGCAATTGGTGGACACTGACAAGCAATGCCCTGCCACCCACCAACACCTGATTGGCTGATCACCTTCGGGCAAGTTATGTAATCTTCCTGTGCCTCAGTTTTTTTAATCTGTAAAATGGGAATAAGAACGTCTACTTTGTGGCGCGATCGTGAGATTAAATGTGAGGAACTGCTGGACACGGGCTTGCTCCTGTAATCCCAACACTTGAGAGGCTGAGGCAGGAGGATTGCTGCAAGTTTGAAGCTACTCTGGGTCACATAGTGAGACCCTGGAAAGAAGTGGGCGGAGGGACAGAGAAATAGAGGGAAAGAGAGCGAGTCCAACAGCTCTCTTTGTAGCCAGGTAGAAATAGAGGGACTGCCACCTGTCCGTGGCATGGATGGAAAAAGCCTTGAGATCCGATGGGTCCCCTTTCCAGCCCCACCTCCAGTCTTGTTTACTATGAAGCCTCAGGCAATAGAGCCACCTGTCTGAACTGTCTCCTCATCTGCCACACAGAAGGCCCAGGGCTCAGTCCGCCCTCACCAGACACTCCCCACTTGCAGCACCAGTCATCTCCCTGCCTGTCTCCTTGCTTCCCCTGCCCTCTGTGGGAGGAGACTGCCATCTCACAAAGGAAGGTACGAGGCCTTGATATTTATTTATTTATTAAAGATTTCTGATTCTTCCCCGCCACTACCTCCCATTTCCCTCCCCCTCCCCCAATCAAGTCCCCTTCCCTCGTTAGCCCAAAGAGCAATCAGGGTTCCCTGCCCTGTGGGAAGTCCAAGGACCACCCACCTCCATCCAGGTCTAGTAAGGTGAGCATCCAAACTGCCTAGGCTCCCACAAAGCCAGTTCGTGCAGTAGGAACAAAAACCCATTGCCATTGTTCTTGAGTTCTCAGTAGTCCTCATTGTCCTCTATGTTCAGCGAGTCCGGTTTTATCCCAGGCTTTTTCAGATCCAGGCCAGCTGGCCTTGGTGAGTTCCCGATAGAACATCCCCATTGTCTCAGTGTGTGGGTGCACCCCTCGCGGTCCTGAGTTCCTTGCTCGTGCTCTCTCTCTCAGGAGACTATTGTAAGAATTAAACGAGCCAGGCGGTGGTGGTGCACGCCTTTAATCCCAGCACTCGGGAGGCAGAGGCAGGCGGATCTCTGTGAGTTCGAGGCAAGCCTAGTCTACATAGTGAGTTCCAGGACAGGCTCCAAAGCTATAGAGAAACCTTGTCTCGAAAAAGAATTAAATGAGTAAGGACGGTGTTGATGCAGTTTGTAACCCAGCACTCGGGGAGCAGAGACAGGAGGATTCCAGGTTAGAGGCTACTCTGAGCTACATAAGACTGTCTCAGAAAATACCAGGTGGTGGTGGTGGCTCACGCCTTTATTTAATCCCAGCACTCGGGAGATAGAGACAGGCAGATCTCTGTGAGTTCGAGGCCAGCCTGTCTAGTTCCAGGAAGAGCTAGTTCCAGGACAGGCTCCAAAGCTACAGAGAAACCCTGTCTCGAAAAACAAAACAAAACAAAAAGACTGTCTCAGAAAACCAAGAGCTGGAATGGTCACTCAGCGACAGAGTGTTGCCCAGCATGCACGAGGCCGTGGGTTCCCCCATCCCCCAGATCCATACTGAATTAAATGGATGAGCGTGTGCAGGATATACAGACAAGCACCCGGAACTCTGTAAAGCTCTGCTTGGATGTGTGTCAGAGCTGCAGTTGTGTCATTGCGTGTCATTACAGAGTGTGTTATGTGTTTGTTTGTTTTAGATAGGGTCTCACTATGTGGTCCTGTCTGGCTTGGGCCTAGCTGTGCAGACCAGCCTGGCCTTGAACTCACAGAGATTCACCTCCCTCTACGTAATTAAAAGTGTCACCATGCCAGGTAATGTCTGGTCTTGAGACAGGATCTTATTCTGTAGCCAGGCTGAGCTAGAACTCACTTGCTTCAAACTCATGGCAATCCTCCTGCCTCGGCTTTCCATGCTGGGTTGTAGGATTTTTACCACTGTATCTGTCACCTCACAGAGTTGTTTATCTACTATGTGTGAGTGTTTTGTCTGCACCTTCATCACAGCATGCCTGGTGCCCCCAGAGGCCAGAAGAGAATGTCTGGACTCTCTGGGGTTGTTGTTCCTGAGGGTTCTGAGCTGCCTCATGGGTGCTGGCTTGAAGCCTGGAGCCTATGGAAGGGCAGCCAGCTCTTCACCACCAAGCCATCTCCCCAGACCCTGGTCTTGTTTTGTTTTCAAGATTTTAAAGTAGATTTTATTTATTTTTGTTGTTGTTGTTGAGACAAGGTTTCTCTAGTAGCCTTGGCTGTCCCGGAACTCACGTGCTGTAGACCAGGCCAGCCTCGAACTACTGCATCCCCACACCAGACTCTAAAAATATTGTGTCTGTGTGTGTGTGTCTGTGTGTGTTTGCCTGCACTCATGAGTGCTGAGTGAAGGAACCTGCAGAGACCAGAAGAAGGCATCAGATCCCTGGAGTGGAGTTACATACAGATGGTTTTGTGAACAACCCAACATGGATGCTGAGATCCAAACTTGGGTCCTCTGCAAGACCGACACACACTTTGAACAGCTGAGCCGTGGCTCCAGCCCCCTCTTACAGAGTCTTGAAGAAGGTCAGACAAGATGAGGAGAACGTGAGAGGCAGTGGCAGACGGCCCTGTGGCGGGGTTGCCGGGGTGCAGCAGGAGCCGGCCTGGGAGGGAAAGGAACCAATGGCAAACAGTGGCCTGGGCAGCAGTTCACTAGAGCCTTGGGAAGCAGGCCATGTTCCTGGATCATGGTCTCCTGGTCCTACTTGGCCTTGGGCAATTCACTGCCCTTTGCCCACCCTGGCCCCGTGCTCCTTCATGGATGAAATGAGAACAGTATTTGTTTAATTGATCTCACTGGGCTGTGGTGGTGAGGATCAAAGGGGATTATGATTGTGAACATGTTTGGACACCCAGAGGGATTTTAGCTCTCTGTAATTATTAGCCCAACCAAGTCATACTCAGGTCCTTCTCAAGGGCAAGTAGGGAGGTAACTTAGATACTCTAGAAAGTCTAAGGAGAGAGGTCCTGAAAACAGCAGGAGAGACTGAAATCAGACTCTAGGATGGACTTCAAGTCGGCACGGGAAGGGAAATAGTCAGAGAAGAGGAAGGTTCCCGGGTACCTAGACCAGCCAGGGTTCTCCTGACCTGCATGAAGCTGGTGGAGGGTGGGCGGGTGGAGGATGGGAAGGTCAGCAGGAGGCTGTGACCCTGGAGGCTGGGAAGCTGGAAAGTTCCATAAGAAACTAGTGCATCCTAAAGATGAGTCCCCTCTCAGAGGCCTGCAGGGCCAGCATCTGCCAGGGGCAGTCCTGGGACAGAGAGAGACTGGAGAAGCCAGAAGTCTCAGAAGGACCTTTGAGACCCTCAAGTTTGAATAGAGCAAGACCTGGGCAGAATCACGTGACTTTCTGGCCTCCCACAGAAGGTGTCTTCTGGGTTGTGCTGGTCCCAGAGTTGCCCAGGATCTGTGGATCCCAAGTGATCTTGGTGTCTTGGTTGCATCTTGGTCCCATCTGGCTCTGTGTAGGTTCAGTCTGAACAGATGCATCTGAGCCAAGAGCTGTTCCTTCTTCTCCTGTCGTCTGATCTGCTCCAGGCGGGGTCAGCTCGCTGCTTCAGGTCCCAGAGGCTCCACTTCCAAGCAGCTGCTGCCTGGCTCCTGTCTTGATCTCATGCAGGCTCTCTTGGCTGCATTCTATCTGAACTCTGGCTCAACCTGTCTGGGTGTCAGGCTGACCCCCTTAACTTTCCACTGGGGTTGATTAGGGCTCCATACTTAATGTCTGTCGATGGCTAAGTTCAACTTTGCCTTTGGGAATTCTGTCCCAAGCAAAGAAGAGTGGGGATCCCAAGGGAGCCCTTTTGTGCCTTCTGCCTAACTGGGTGAGAATGCCATCCTGGGGCTCAAAGAGGTTGGCTGAAAAGGCAGTACCGTCCTCCATGCCCCAGGGATGTGGCTGTTGGTCTGTGCGTTCACCCGTCAGTAAAGCAGCTCTGCCTGGGTCTGTATGCGGTGGATGTCAGCGCGGCAGTGAGGCTCCATGTGGGTGTTGGGAGCCTATTTCTGTGTGCCTGTGTGTCAGCTCTTCTGTCTGTGTCTCCGGTCTGCCTGGAGATGCCAGTGTGGGTGGGTATATCCCTTTGTGTCTCTGAGCCCTGAGGGTGGAGGCTTGAGCAGCTGCAGGTTGCAACTGGGAAATCCAAGTCAGAGAGAGTTGGTGGGTGTGCGGCTGGAAGGGACTGGAAGAGAACGAGCAAGCGACTGGTGTGGGGGAAGAGGGGGTCTCCAGCAGCAGAGTGCAGCGGGAGGAGGAAGGCGTGGGAGGAAGCAGGTCAGAGTGCTGCCGACCCGGCTCAGCCAGCCCTTGCCGGGCCTGGCTGTGCTCGCTCAACTTGGCACCAGCTACTGGCAGCTTGGCACCCATGCGACCTTCCATAAGGGAATGAATGGTCAGGTCGGGGCAGGGAAAGGGGAGACCCGAGCAGGCGCTGCTAAGGGATGGCGGGAAGGTTCAGAGCCCGGGAAAGCATTCTAGAATCCTCATCAGAGACCAGAGGTGACCATCACAAACGTGACAACTAGCTGGTTGTTGAAATGTTGCCATTTGTGTCTAGCAATGAATAGCGACAGCCTCAACTAATGTCTCTTTCAGAGAGACCAGACTGAACACCCGAGGCTGTTCCTATCTCAGGGAACGCCTTTAGCTGACTCCTTTAAGGTACCCTGGCATCCGAGACATTGTTCTTCAAGTAACCCAGTGCTGGCTCTGACTGTTGTCCTTGCCAGCCCTCCTGACTAGGACCCTTCCTAGGCTCCGAGTCTAGAACTGGTGCCATCCGTGTGTGAGGCAGGTAGGGGACCAGAGGGCAGGCGCATCAACCTTGGGGAGCGGGGTAGGACTGCTCACTGGTCTGGCCTTGCTCTGCTCTGCAGGCGAAAGACAGCGATGATGAAGAGGAGGTGGTCCACGTGGATCGAGACCACTTTATGGATGAGTTCTTTGAACAGGTAGAGCCCCCAGTAGCCCTGGCCGAGAACCGTGCCCCTCCCCAGCAACATCCTTTGCCCTGTGCACCCCTTTTCCTGCACACTCCTTGGCCTTCTGGGTTTGGCCCATTTCACTGAGCACTGGCTAGTTGTCCTGATCCCCTCATCTGGCCCACCAACTTGGGTGAGGTGGCACTGAGTTCCTGCCCAGGTGGAAGAGATCCGAGGCTGCATCGAGAAACTGTCTGAGGACGTGGAGCAGGTGAAGAAACAGCACAGCGCCATCCTCGCAGCCCCCAACCCGGATGAGAGTGAGTGCCACTTCTTCAGGGGGACTCGGGGGCCAGAGCCCCATCCAGGTTCTCACTTCCCTGTTTGCCCCCCCCCCCCCCCCCCAGAGACCAAACAGGAGCTGGAGGACCTCACGGCAGACATCAAAAAGACCGCGAACAAGGTCCGGTCCAAGTTGAAAGGTGAGCGACTGAGTGACGCAATCCTGAATCGGCGGAGAAAGATCTCCGCTGCGCACTGGACAAAACAGGTCCCTGTCGGCAGTGCCCACAGGCTTCTGGGGACCAGATTCCTATTCAGGGAGCTGATTGGGAAGTGAGCTGGGTAGGGTTTCCGCCTGAACTGCACCTAAGAGCCATCAATCAGAGGAATGCAGATTTCCAGTCAGTCAAGGTGGTGATGACCTATAATCCCAGCACTCAGGAAGCTGCCACAGGAAAAGTCAGAGTTTCCAATGAATGTGGGCTACATAATGAGACCCTATTTCAGAAAATCCAGGGAGAAAGGGAGGGGGGAAATGAAAGAAACATCCTCCTCCAAGGTTTTAATTTTGTTCAGACCTCATTTGTCCTGAAGAGGCTCTGAGCACGACACTGAGCACCCAGTAGGTGGCTCAGCAAATGCTTCTGAATTAGTATCCTCGGCTCAGGACAGATTGGACCGTGTGGCTGACATCAGGGGCTGGCACGCTTTCAGGAGGGCCTTGCCAAAGGCTCATGCATCCACTCTAATTTAAGGACTTGGGTGCTGGTAATAATCACCTTCCCCCAAAGCACTGTGGGCTGGGAACCTCCTCGTCGGCTGATGCCAGGGGAAGAGCAGTGTTAAGGAGCTGCCACTGGCGTGCCGTGGTAATTGAGCAGCAGAAGATAGTTACCAAGTGCCTGCAGCCCTGAGGCCCGTTGCTGAACTTTAGACAGGCTTTATCAAGGGCCTGTCCCCCAAACCATTAGCCTTCCCTGGGGCGATGAGGAAATAAGCTTCATGTCCTTTTGGACTGGGGGGGGGGGGGGGCCTTCTGGGAGCCTCTGATGCTGACCTGTAAAGATAAGCCCTTTGTGGGTGTGCTCTGGGGTCATGGTCATGTAATCTGCAGGGGAGGAGTTCAGCCTGTGAGGTCCACTCACTGCGGACAGTCCCTGTCCGTGTCCGCAGTTTGCTTGTCAGTATAGTAGGAGAAACTGAAGCAATTATAAAATTTTTTTTCCTTATATTTTTGACAGCGGAATATTTTTCTCCAGATGAAGTCTTACCAAGAATCTCAAATAGAAAACATAAAAGTTGCCAGATGTGGTGGCGCACACCGTTAGGCTCAGCGCTAGGGAGGCAGAGGCAGGTAGATCTCTATGAGTTCGAGACCAGCCTGATCTACATAGTGAGTTCCAGGAGAGCCAGAGTTGTAAGGTGACATTTTCAAAACAAACTCCATAAAACTCAGGTTGCAGAGAGGCATAATAGTGTGCCCCTATAATTTTAGCACTCGGTGGGCTGAGGTGGGTGGGCGGGTCACAGGTCCAGGACTCCATGGTTTCTTCAGACCCATTGTGTCCTGATCTAGAACACGTTCTAGGAGGCCACGAGGAAAACATTGTGGTCAGGGGTTCAGGAATAGTTTCAGACAGGAGACAGGAAAAGTGAAGATCGTTTAAGAAATTGACCAGACACAGAGAGGTGGTGGTGCACGCCTTTAATCCCAGCACTCAGGAGGCAGAGGCAGGCAGATCTCTGAGTTTGAGGCCAGCCTGGTCTTCAAGAGCTAGTTCCAGGACAGGCTCCAAAGCTACAGAGAAACCCTGTCTGTCATGGAAAAAAAAATTGACCAGGAAAAAAAAAATCCCATCTTTTTCACTTTTTTTCCAGTTGGTGGCAACAGGGTGACCTTGAAAAGTCGTCTTAGGAATTCAAACCCCAGTTTCTAATGTGAAATACCAACCAATATCACTCAGTTCCCAGAATCATTGTACAATACCCCTCTACAAAGAGTTGGCCCTAGCCCCAGGTCTTATAACATGGCCCAGCAGGACGTAGGTCCCTGGATCCCTGGTGGTGTACGCCTGGTGCTTTCTCTGAGCTGGCCCAGCCGGCAATAGCACTCAGTCAGTCGTTCCTGCTTCTGCCTACAGGAGAGTCTTGAGGTGCCATCTAGCTCCATTCCTCCCGACTGCCAGGAGGACAGAGAGATGGCATTCTCAGGATTGGCCCAGAGGTCCCGAGTCTCAGCAGCCTGGGTGATTCATCCCTGCTGCACTTTCTGATCTTAATGTGAAGAAGCTGTTCCTGCAAGCTCTGCTCAGAAAATCTGAGTAATGGAGTCGGGAATCCACGGTCCAGAAGCAGTACAAAACATCCTTTAGAAGTGGAAACTCAGCCGGGCAGTGGTGGCGCGCACCTTTAATCCCAGCACTCGGGAGGCAGAGGCAGGTGGATCTCTGTGAGTTCGAGGCTAGCCTGGTCTACAGAGTTAGTTCCAGGACAGGCTTCAAAGTTACAGAAAGAAACCCTGTCTTGAAAAATCACGAATACCTATGTAGGAAGGTAGATAGATAGAAGTAGGAACTCAGCTAGGCAGTGGTGGTACATGCCTTTAATACCAGCACTTAGAAGGCAGAGTTGGAGGCCAGCCTGGTCTACAGAGTAAGTTCCAGACAGCCAGGGCTACCTAGAGAAACCTTGTCTCAAAAAAACAAAAGATAAAACAATAAAGAAGCAGAACTGACAAGACAGGCAGGGCAGGAGAGCTATGTTTTCTCTGTTAGAACATCTACCTGTAAGCTACAGAATTCTCATGAAAGGATGGCCACCAAAAAGTCAGAAGGTAGTGGGGGTCTTGCCTGTAGGAGCAGCTACTCAGAAAGTTGAGGCAGAAGTGTCTTTGAGTCCACAAGTTTCAGGCAATGTAAAAAACCACACCCTGCCTTTAAAAGCACACATGCACACAAAGTGCTGGTGGGTTTTGCTTTTTGTTTAGAGGTAAAAGGAACTGGAGACTACTTTGGGGGGTGTCCCCTCTAGCGAATGGACTATATTCCCTCCAAGGCAAAATTCTTCCATCAAAACAAAGCTTCTGTCTGGTGACCTTTTGACTCTGTCTTTCCCTACCTGCTTTAGGAAACTCCCTCAGATTCCTGCCTGCTTATTTGGCAGCCTGCAAAACTAGAGCTCCCCACAACTGTTTCTTTCTTTCTTCCTTTTCATGATTTTTTTTTTGTTTTTTTTTTTTTTTTTGTTTTTGCTTTGTTTTGTTTTTGGTTTTTGAGGCAGGGCTTCTCTGTAGCTTTGGAGCCTGTCCAGGAACTTGCTCTGTAGATCAGGTTGGCCTCCAACTCACAGAGATCTGCCTGTCTCTGCCTCCCAAGTGCTGGGATTAAAGGTGTGCGCAACCACCGCCCAGCAACCATAATTCCTTTCGTGGAGCATGATGTCTCTTCCCTTAGCCTGGACCCGACCTCTTCCTACACTCCAGATCCTGGTCCCTTTCTCCATCTCCAGCCTGTAACTGTGTCTTTTCTCCCATAGCGATCGAGCAAAGCATTGAGCAGGAAGAGGGGCTGAATCGTTCCTCCGCTGACCTGCGCATCCGCAAGACTCAGGTAAGCTCAGCGTGCAGGGGACCAGCCCAGGCAGGAGTGGTCTCTGTCGCGGGGGGGGGGGGGGGGGGGGGGGNGGGGGCTCTGGGCGGGGTTGTGCCAGACAGCAGAGCGAAGGATGGAGATACGGTTTTGAATTCGTGGGAAGCTGCTGCAGCATCCTTCTCAGCCTTGTGTTCATGACACCCTGTGTGTCTTTCCGATTCTCTAGCACTCTACTCTCTCGCGGAAGTTCGTGGAGGTAATGACCGAGTATAACGCAACCCAGTCCAAGTACCGGGACCGCTGCAAGGACCGCATCCAGCGGCAGCTGGAGATCAGTGCGTGTGCCCCTCCCCATCCCCAGACTCCCAGGACTTGACAGGCCCGCTCCACGGGTTCCTCCCTGGAGCCAGCACCTGGCCTGAGCCTGGAAGGGTGGGTCCTGGGTTCCTGTTCCCTTCACCCCACCACCTCAGACCCAGTTCCTGAGCAGGAAGTTCTTGTCCTCCACAGCCGGCAGGACCACTACCAATGAAGAACTGGAAGACATGTTGGAAAGCGGGAAGCTGGCCATCTTCACTGACGATGTGAGCCCCTGGGTCGGGTCAGGGTCTGTGGGGAAAACATTGGCCTCTCTCCTCCATGTCCACTCTGGAATCTCAGAGAATGGACAACTTGGACCAAGAACTGGGAGATTCCATGGGGGCGGAGCAGGAAGGCAGCTCCGTGGAAAGGGTCAATAGCGCTGCGGGGGCATTTTTTCACACTTGCAGGGTTTTTGTTTGTTTTTTGAGACAGGATTGTTTCAAGACTCACAATCCTCTTGGCCTCAGCAGGAAGTACAGGGGTGCACCATCGTGTCTACCCCTCATTTAATCGTCTCCAAAATCTTGAAGGTAGCTCCTTTCTCAGATGAGGAAAATTGAGCCAGAAGGTGAAATAACTTGCGAAGAACTTGACTCCAGTCTTAATTTCTTTTTCTTTTTTTTTTTGTGTGTGTGTGTTTCCTTTTTTTTTTTTTTAATTGATAGTTACTGAGCTCTACATTTTTCTCTGGTCCCCTCCCTGCTCTCCCCTCCCCCTTCAACCCTCCCCCATGGTCCCCATGCTCCCAATTTACTCAGGAGATCTTGTCTTTTTCTACTTCCCATGTAGATTAGATCTATGTAAGTCTCTCTTAGTGTCCTCATTGTTGTCTAAGTTTTCTGGGATTGTGGTTTGTAGGCTGGCTTTCTTTGCTTTATGTTTAAAAACCACCTATGAGTGAGTACATGTGATAATTGTCTTTCTGTGTCTGGGTTACCTCACTCAAAATGATGTTTTCTAGCTCCATCCATTTTCCTGCAAAATTCAAGCTGTCGTTATTTTTTTCTGCTGTGTAGTACTCCATTGTGTAAATGTAGCACGTTTTCCTTATCCATTCTTTGGTCGAGAGGCATTTAGGTTGTTTCTAGGTTCTGGCAATGACAAACAAAGCTGCTATGAACATAGTTGAGCACATGTCCTTGTGGCACGATTGAGCATCCTTTGGCTATATACCCCAAAGTGGTATTACTGGGTATTTATTTATTTATTTATTTATTTATTTATTTATTATGTATACAATATTCTCTCTGTGTGTCTGCCTGCAGGCCAGAAGAGGGCATCAGATCTCATTACAGATGGTTGTGAGCCACCATGTGGTTGCTGGGAATTGAACTCAGGACCTTTGGAAGAACAGGCAATGCTCTTACCCACTGAGCCATTTCTCCAGCCCCTTACTGGGTCTTGAGGAAGGTTGTTTCCTAGTTTTCTGAGAAATTGCCACACTGACATCCAAAGGGGTTGTACCAGCTTGCATTCCCACCAGTAATGCAGAAGTGTTCCCTTTTCCTCACAACCTCTCCAGCATAAGTTGTCATCAGTGTTTTTGATTTTGGCCATTCTTACCCGTGTAAGATGGAATCTCAGAGTTGTTTTGATCTGCATTTCTCCGATGACTAAGGATGTTGAACATTTCCTTAAGTGTCTTTCAGCCATTTTAGATTCCTCTGTCGAGAGTTCTCTGTTTAGGTCTGTACTCAATTTTTTATTGGATTATGTGTTCTTTTGGTGTCCAATTTCTTGAGTTTTTTGTATATTTTGGAGATCAGACCTCTGTCTGATGTGGGGTTAGTGAAAAATCTTTTCCCATTCTGTAGGCTGTCGTTTTGTCTTGTTGACCGTGTCCTTTGTTTTACAGAAGCTTTTCAGTTTCAGGAGTTCCCCTTATTGTTTCTCTCAGTGTTTGTGCTGTTGGGGTTATGTTTAGGAAGTGGTCTCCTGTGCCTATGCGTTCAAGTGTACTTCCCACTGTCTCTTCTATAAGGTTAGTGTGGCTGGCTTTAAGTTGAGGTCTTTGATCCATTTGGACTTGAGTTTTGTGTGTGGTGATAGATATGAGTCTATTTTCATTTTTCTACATGTTGATATTCAGTTATGCCAGCACTTCTTGTTAAATATGCTTTCTTTTTTCCATTTGATATTTTTTGCTTCTTTATCAAAGATCAGGTGTTCGAAGATGTGTGGATTGATATCCGGGTCTTCTATTCAGTTCCATTGGTCCTCCTGTCTGTTCTTATGCCAATACCAGTCTGTTTTCAGTACTGTAGCTCTGCAGTAGAGTTTGAAGTCAGGGATTGTGATGCCTCCAGAAGTTCTTTTTTTTGTTTTGTTTTGTTTTGTTTTTCGAGACAGGGTTTCTCTGTGGCTTTGGAGCCTGTCCTGGAACTAGCTCTGTAGACCAGGCTGGTCTCGAACTCACAGAGATCCGCTTGCCTCTGCCTCCCGAGTGCTGGGATTAAAGGTGTGCGCCACCATCGCCCGGCTCAGAAGTTCTTTTATTCTACAGGATTGTTGTGGCTGTCCTGGGTTTTTTGCTTTTCCATGTGAAGTTTACCGTTCTTTCGAGGTCTTTGAAGAATTTTGCCGGGATTTTGATAGGCATTGCACTGAATCTGTAGATTGCTGTTGGTAAGAACACAGTCTTAATTTCTGAGTCAGAGCTCAGTGTGGTGCCTGAAGCGGCAGCGTTCCCCCCTCCCTGAGCCCACAGGACCCCGTTCTGTTACATGTGAGCACAGGGGCTTCCCCCAAACCCAGGTTCTCTTTCTCATTGTGGACGTGTGCTCTGGCCTGCCCAGTCCTGTGTCCATCTCTTCCTCTGTGGCCAGATGGCTTTGGGAAATGGGTGTAAGCAGATATAAAGTGTTCACTGTGGTTGTCTAAGAGTTTGCAGTGGAATGTGATATTTGTTGAGTTGACTCCGGTGGGCCAGTGGGACACCCCTCCTCCTTCCAATACAGCTCTCCTCAGGCTGTCTTGTCTCTGTGTGAGATTGGAGAGGAGCCTGGTGGGCAACTCCAAGAGGTCTTACTTTAGTGGGCAAGAGCTGGACTCTGGCCAGGCATGGTGGTGCACACCTTTAATCACAGTGCTTGGGAAGATCTCTGGGAGTTCAAGACCTGCTTGGACTACATAGCTTCCAGGACTACATAGGAAGACCTGCCTCAAATAAATAAATAAATAAATAAATAAATAAATAAAAAGGATTGACCTCTGCCCCCTGGCATTCCATTGTGGCCGTGGAAACCACCTTTATGGAACTCACTCAGTTTCACAACAATGTCAGTGGGGTTGGGGACCTGGATGGGCTGAGGAAAAGGCAGATGAGCCCTGGATGGGCTGAGGAAATGGCAGATGAGCCCTAAGTGTTGGCTAGGATTATTAATATTGGAGTCAAGGAAGATGTTAGGAGTTGTCATTGAGATGGATCTTACGATCCAACAGGATGGGGCTGGAGAAGTGGCTCAGTGGTTAAGAGCACTGGCTGCTCTACCAGAGGTCCTGAGTTCAATTCCCAGCACCCACATAGTGACTCTCAACCATCTGTAACTCTACTCCCATGGGACCCAATGCCCTCTTCTGGTGTGCAGATGATGTACGTGCAGACAAAACACCCATATATGGAAATAAATAAGTCTTTAAAAAAGACAAAAAGAGACACCAGGATCTGGGGAGAGATGGTTTAGTGGTTATGGCGCCAGAGTTCAACTGTGTCAGGCTCACAACATTCTGCAATTCCAGCTGCAGGGAATTCAAGTCCTTCAATCCACATGGGCAGCTGGGTTTACATTCTAGTGTAAACACGTACACATTTAAAAATCTAAGCTAAAAAGGAGAAGCAAATGAGTGTTTAGATAATGAGAATATTGGTGAAGAGCAGTCAAAATGTAGACAGGAGACAGGGACACTTGCAGGACAGCTGCTGGGTGACCTTGGTGCTTACAATAGGGGCAGGAAATATGGGTAGAAAGGGTCTATTTTGGGAGTGAGCTTGGTGTGAGGGAGAGTGAGAGGGTGGGGAGGAGGGTTGCTCCCCATGTGTGGCGGTGTGTGGCCAGGGTAATAGGGAGTCCTGTGGGTACAGAGGGAAAGCGATTGCCCACTGTGTTCTAAACTCAGTGGGAGCCAATGGCTGGGTCAGGAGCTGAGGGGACACTGTAGCTGTGAGCTGGAATTTCTCCTCCTGATCTCGAGACCGATGTGCATCTTGTTCTTATTTATCCCCTGCTTCATCTCACGAGGCTCCTGTTGACTTGCGGGCACACTGCCTCCACATCTGAGCCTCTGCCTTTTGCTACTTTCCCACCTGCTGTATCTTGCCATCGCCCGTCAGCTTTGACCATCTCTCTTCCCTGGGCTTCCCCGGTGTGTGTTCCACTACAGGAAGCCCTGGGGCCAGATTGCCAGCCTTCTACAAGCTTTATTTCTTGTAATTCAACAAACTTCTTTTGATGCTTATGGTGTTCCAGGGATTGTTCAAAGTTACATACACAGACACATTCAATTTCACAACAGTCTTTTGAGATAGGTGCTATTATGATCCTTCCTCCTTCCTTCCTTCCTTCCTTCCTTCATTCCTTCCTTCCTTTCCCTCCCTTCCTCCCTTCCTTTTCTTTTCTTTCTTTCTCTCCCTCTCCCTCCATCTCTTTTTTCTCCAGATAGGGTTTCTCTGTGTAGCCTTGGTTGTCCTGGAACTCACTCTGTGGACCAGGCTGACCTCGAACTCACAGAGGTTTGCCTGCCTCTGCCTCCCGAGTGCTGGTATCAAAGGCGTGCACCAGCACACCCAGCCTATGATCCATATTTTCTAGGTGGTGGCTAGCAAGGTCCAGAGAGGGTAAATAATTTGCCCAAGGACTTGTACCCGGCCCCTCTAACTGTTAAGTTGAAACCCTTACATGAACAAAGAGTGGTCACAGCCCCATTCTTCCTCGCACCGCCCTAGATCAAAATGGACTCGCAGATGACAAAGCAGGCACTAAATGAGATTGAGACCAGGCACAATGAGATCATCAAACTGGAGACCAGCATCCGAGAGCTGCACGACATGTTTGTGGACATGGCCATGCTCGTGGAGAGCCAGGTACAGGCTGCACCAGTCTGGGGGTCCCCACGAGCCCCAAGGATGCCTTTTCTAGCCGACCCTCATTCTCCCTTCTTCATATTCCCCCGTCTGCAGGGCGAGATGATTGACCGCATCGAATACAATGTGGAACATTCCGTGGACTATGTGGAACGAGCTGTGTCCGACACCAAGAAAGCTGTGAAATATCAGAGCAAGGCGAGGAGGGTAAGCCAGTGGAGGTGGCCTGATGGGGGTAGGAGATCAGTGGGCGGGGTGTGGCAGTTACGAAATGGGTGAGAGGCCTTATCTCTGGCTCTGACCTCTTCCTGTTTCTGTTTTCTCTCCCCTCTTTCCTCATGTCCTATATCCCGACTCTCCCTTCATTTGTCTGTCTGTCTATCTGTCTCTCTCTCTTCCTCTTCCCCTCTCATCTTTGCACCTACAGAAGAAAATCATGATCATCATTTGCTGTGTGGTGCTGGGGGTGGTCTTGGCGTCATCCATTGGGGGGACCCTGGGCTTGTAGGCCCCTACCCTTCTCTTCCCTCAGTCCCTCTCCACTCATTGGGAGCAATCCCCGCCCCTCACTCTCCCCTGCTCCGAGCTCACTCCCAAAACAGACCCAGGCAGTTTCAGCTCCTGCCACCCTCACGCACACCCTGGAGTCCCTGGCTCTGACTTTGCCATGGATCCCCCCTCCACCTTGCCGCACATAGATAACAGCAGGCGTGATCACACATGCACACCAACATGCATGCCGCGGGCACATGCTCAAGACGTGTGGACACCCCAGCGTGTATGTACTTGTGTAGATGTATGTAGATCCCCTGAACCTCTTTCTGCCACCTCCATCCTGTGTGGTCTGAACTTCCCTCTCTCCCGTTGCTGTGCAGACTGTGGCCGAGTAGAACACAGCAGCCCGCCATACCATAACCTGTCTTCTGTGAACAGACACGTGTAGTGCAGGTGTGTGTGTGTGCATAGATCTGTGGCCATACAATGTGTGTACATGGAGTTTTCTAAGTGTGAAAACCCAGTGCAAAAGCAATTCCTCCACTGACCTTCTCTCCTGTCTGCTCCATCTGGAGTGGGAGGTACATGTGAGGGAATTCCCAGCCTCCGAGGATCCAGGGAGGCCCAGAGACCACCGCACATGTCTCCTGTGATGTAGAATTCACAAACTCTCCTGGCTCAGTTACTGCCAGGGGTTCACGTCATTTCCTGGGGACTCCCCCCACCCGTCCGTCCGTCCGTGTGTGTGTGTGTGTGTGTGTGTGTGTGTGTGTGTTGAACTTTGAGTTCAGGGGAAGCAAGTGGAAACCTGTGTGTAAATGATAAAGATCCTGACTTAGTTTGTATGAGTGCGTATTTTCCCTAATAGATGGTGATGTAAAGGGCTTGTGCACAGGTCTCTCTCTCTCTCTCTCTCTCTCTGTGGTGTAGTGTTGATAATCTTCTCCTAGACAGAGCCATCCATGCTGTGAATCAGACACTAGTTTTGAATGGGTAGAGATAGCTGTCACTAAGCTACTGGAAGACGACTGTGTACGTGTGCACCCTTATGGACTTTCTACATGTTTCTGCTTCTGTGCATCACACGCACACACGTTTCTCTTTAAGTTCATGCTCCCCAGGTTTGTTTCTCCAGACTTAGTTGCTCCCTCCCTTTCCTCAGAACAGCGGCTCACACTGCTCCATCAGGAGTGTGCCAGTGCCGTGTCCTTCCTCTCCAGACCATCTGACGGGAGCACACACCCAGACTCTTACCTTTCTCTTTCTGCCTGACAGCAGTATTGAGCCTTGAACAACTAGCACGTCCTAGTGTGTTCACAAATGCCGAGGCTGAGGAAGTTCCAGAAAGGTGGTCACACACAGGGGCTGGGGCCTCACACACAAACAGCATGGTGCCCATCCTGGGCCACACCAGTTTGCACACAAACTGTCTCCTGGAAGGAGTGTGGTAGGCCTAAGGAGGTAAGATGCCAAGGGCTGCTCCAGACAGGTGGGAAACCATGGCATTTACCCTTTCTGCCTCTCAAACTCACCTCGAAGCTCTTGTTTGTCCTCACTGCCTCAGCCAATGCTCTGAACTCTTCCTCGAGGAGCTTGGGTTTGGGCAGCTGGATTTTACACACACCTGAGTGGCTACTTAGGGCCATCCTTGAATCTGTCCCTCAGACACATGTACTGCTGAAGCATCAGCCATGGCCACTACCACAGTTGGGTGACAGGGAGGTTGAGACAGGGAGCATCCTCCAGCGGTGAGGAATGGAGAAAGCCCTTCCACTGTGTGCACAGCTATGTGTGCACTTTGTGGGCTCTCTGGGAGCAGGCAGGATGTCAGCGGGATAAAGGACAGTGCTGCAAGTCCTGTGAACGTGTAGGCACACAGAGGGACATGTGTCCTGGCCTGCAGTTGGGTAGCCATGTGAAGTGTGTGTGAGCACAGGTGCATGCAGGACGAGGGGAGGGGGAGTCCCTGAAAATATGGCTTTCTAGATGGAAATGTTCTGAGCAAGCCCTGACAGCTCATCTCTTCCCTGCCTGTCTGTTTGAGCTCTGCCCACCTGGTGTGTATGCGTGTGTGCATGTGTGCATCCACATGTGTGTAACCCCCAGGTTAGCTGTGCTGAGGAGGGAGCCTGCCTATCCATTTCCAGAATACTCTTCAGCAGGACAGGAGTTCGCCCAGAGCTTCGTGCCCCCATCCTTGACTTCTCTGGAGATGCCAGAGGAGGCCCCAGCATCCACCCACTTCTTCCTTCAGCCCAGCCAGAACCCCCTTCAACCTAGGTGTTTCTAGCAGCCTCTCTTGACACCCCAGTCGCAATGTTCCCAAGGACAGACTGTGGCTGGCATGCTGCTTTTGCCTCTTTGAATGGCACTGGGCTCAGGGCTGCCCACCACTGGGCCTCAAGTGGATTAGCAGTCCTGAGTCTGCTGTAACCCAGCTTTCTACAAGACCTACACATCACATGATGGACAAGCTTGTTGACTGTTGTCCATATGCGTGTCCTGGATTGTCTGGGGGCTGGTGTCTTTTGCATGTTCTCAGATAAGTGTGTGTCGCCTGACCTCCACACACCTAAAACCATCAAGCCCAAATGTGCCCCCGTGGTGGTCCTAGGCCCAAGCCAGGACTCAATGCTTCCATTGTCCCTTCCTTGCCTCTTACAAAGCCCACCATGTGTCCGTCTCCTGTGCCCGTGGGTCATCACGCTCTTGTCATGCCTTGAGCGTGTACACATGATGTGTTCTGTGAACTCACCCTGCCCTGCCCACCTCACAGAGGACAAGATGGCTGGTCCCTAGCTCCCTTCTCCCCCACCTAGCCTCTCCCCACACCCCGCTGTGCAGCTGTGTGCGTTGGTGTGTTTCTGTGTTGCTGGCGTGTCACGTGATGTAGCCATGTTTGCTGACATGAGCCCCTGCCCCCTTTTTTTCTCCATTGGTTTCTAGAACTCTCTCCCTCCCCTCCCCTGAGGGGACAGGACTCCTGGGGCCTGGCTGGGGGCCCAGAGCCTGGCCACCCTCCTGTTAGCCCTCAGAGTCTTATTTCTCTCTATTGGTGATCAACTTGCAAATGGATCAAATACAGGAAATTTTGACCCCTGCCCCAGACCTGCATGTCCTGTCCCCAGAGCGCCCGAACCCTATCCTGGGCCAGGTTGGGCCTGGTGGGACGGGAGAAATAGCAACCAATCCAACAGCGGGCTTGCTGTGTGCTCACTTCCTTCTGTCCCCACATGGGACAGGCGCCGTGTTGACGGGAGACACTGGGGGGAGGGGAGACAACAGGTAGACACAGACTTGGAAAAGGATTTTAATCCAGGCTTGGCCTGATACCACATGGTTGGCCCCCTTGGCAGAAAGCTAACAATATCACAGGCACTGAATGTGGTTGGAGAAGACATGGAAACTCACTGATTTCTTCAGCTTTCTTTAAAGCAAATTAAAAGATAAATGTCTAAAAGAGATACACGTTTAAATAATGATCGAACTACAACCCCTTAAGGAGAGCCAGATGTGGCAGAAGCCAGGTCTGAAGACCACCTGGAGTAAGCAGACCAGCGTGAGCCCCTTCCTGCTTGAGAAACCAGAAGTGGGAAGGATAGTGAGACCATTTAGAAATCAGTTTTTACACTCAGCTGGCAGGCCTCAGGACCAAAGATAGGCCTGTTCCTAAACCCTGTTAGAACTTGGAGGCTGGGATAGCACCCAGGCTCAAGATCTATGTAGTTAAAACGTGGCACGGTTCCTACCACCCAGTCAGGCACCACAGCCTCTAGCTTCAGAAGGCAGTCGTTTCTCTCCATCCAGGCTCTGAAGGTTCAGGACCTTGAGTGTGTGCCACAGTGGCCTCCAGCCACTCCAGAACCCTCCAAGGTCTGCACCCAGTGAATGGTGCGGGCCTTGCTCTCTTCCCATGAGAAGAGGGGCTTGTAGCCAAAATGGCGCTGTGCCTTGTTGGTGCTGACAGTGAAGGTGGTGTTGGCCATGGCCAGAGTGTAGGGATTCAGCAGGGGTGTGTACAGCACCAGTGGGCGGAGCAGCCACTGCAGCAGGGCATTGAGGGTAGCCAGCAGCAGCAGCAGCCAGTAGGGCAGCAGTGGGTGGGTGCCTATCAGCCGAAGTCCACAGGGACCCAGAAACTCCATGTTGAAGTCCTCGTAGCTCTTATAAGGTGATTTATCATAGCAGAAATACACCTGGCCACCCATGAGTGCTGCCCGCTGCTCCAGCTCTCGGGCCACCAGCACGTGCATCCAAGCCACATTGCCTACCAGTAGGGAGGGAGGCAGATAAGCCCCTGAGGGCCCTTGGTCCAGGCCCCTGTTTGGCCCAAACCTCACTACCAACTGGTCAAGGTGGCTCTCCCCCACCCCTGTAGCCACCCGCCCTCCCAGATATCCCGTAGCTACTCGGTTCCTGTCTGGACGCTGCCCTTGTCTTTCTCTGGAGAACTGTCCTCACCCTGCTTCAGTGCTTGGCATAACCCATGACATGTCAGCCCTCCCAGCTGGCGTGGAGACTTTCTCTTGCGATCCATGCAGAAAGTGCCCACATGATCATCGTCTGCCTGAGCCCTCACAGGGCCAGGGGGACACTCGTGACTCTGCCACCTTCAGAGCCAGCCCCCTTGCGCTGCTCTCGGGCTCCCTTTGCCTTGCTCTGTCCTTACCAACATAGACTCGACCGTGCTCCACAGAAGCTGGGATGGCTCGAAAGAGCCGACCCCCATAGCGCAGTCCTTGGTTGTAGAACTCTCTTATGACCTGATGACCTTCACCGTAGATGCCCGTGGGTCGAAGGGCACATGTCACCAGGGGTAGCCCTCCGTTGACCTGGTGGCAAAGGGAAAATGTTGGAGCACACGCCTCTATCCTGGCCACCATGGGGCGGAGATGAATGCAAAGAAGCCTGGGAGTCAGGTTCTCCTCTACCTTCAGCACCCCAAGCCCTGTTTTTGCAGCCTACCTTCCTTCCATTGGCCTCCAGGACCAGTTGCTCAGCAAGGGCTTTGCTGCAAGGGTAGGGGTGCCTGTGGACTGCTTCATATGGGGTGTCCTCATTGCCCCTAGAGGGGGAGAAAACAGACTCAATGCTGGAGGTAAAGGGCCTCTGACATTCAGTGGGGCTGAGCTCACCTGTAGAAGGGGTGGCCCTTGATATTAGGTCCCACAACTTCCATGCTGCTTGTGTAGACCAGGAACTGAGTTCCAGTCTGTATACAAGCCTCAATCACATTCTGCGTGCCTGTGAAGGGAAGGGACAAATGCAAGCTGTCTTCTTCCTGCCTCGACATCTTTTTCGGCTTCACCCTGTGTGCAGGGTGAACCACCACAGGTCAGGAAAGGGTTGGGGAGCAGTGACGGGGCCCCGTGATCAGCAGGACAGGCTCTCACAGGAAAATCACAGGATGCCCATGCTAAGGTCAGGCCACATGCTAAGGAATGACGGGTGTCACACGGAAAAACATGTAGGTAGCACCTCACCCTGCACGTTCACTTTGTGGATGGTCTTTGGACTGGCCTTCCCAAACACATCCACCAGCCCAGCTGTGTGGATGACCACATGAGATCCAGCCACGGCAGCTGCCACCTCGTGGGCCTGAGTCACATCCCCCTGGATGGCGGTCACCTGCACAGGCCCTGGTGGAGAAGCCCAAGGCAGTGTCAGAGCTGAGGACTAAGCCTGCTGCTGAGTTTGGCCTGCATGCCCCTAGGGGACCACATGTTCCCTGTGACTCACCCATCCCGTCTGTGTGAGCTGGAGGACAGACATAGGAATCACCTTTTCCACAACTGCACAAATCCCAGTTTGGGGAGGTTGGGGCGCCATACCTACTGCCCCACTCAGTCACCTGTTTTCAGCTCCTCCAGCCAGGAACTGAGGTGCAGGTCAAAGACTCGCAGCTCCCGAAGCCTGGGCTCCTGCTCCAGCAGCATTCGAACAATACGCTCCCCCAGGAAGCCACAGCCACCTGTGACCAGGTAGACCAGTGTTGGCACCTGTGCAGGTTCTGCCATGCCCAGCTGTGGGAAGAGAACACCACTTGCTTCAATGATGTGTTTTTGCTAGAGGGGTCTAGCAGGTGGGACGATAATCTGGGTGGAAGAGGCTTAGTAGCTGTGGCTGCAGCTGTGTGCTGGCAGCCATCAGACTGCCCACCCTCTTACCCTAGTCACTCGGATTGGATGCAGAACGGGTTAGGGATTGAGGTGGATGGAAAAAATGACTGGGGATACTAAAGAAGGGAAAAAAGGGAAAGAGTCGTTTAGAAAGGGTGCAAGGAGGTGGTAAGGACTGAGCAAAGTAAGAGAAGGGCCCCTTGGGCTCAGTATCGTCTCTGCCTACCTGTAGCTAGTCCCAGGGAGTCCAAACTGGCCACTGGGAGAGGCAGTGTCCTGGGCTGGTGGGCCAGCTAGCTGCACACAGGCTTCCTTCCTTCCGCTTGCTCCTCCTCCCTGGCCCATTCCAGGAAGACCAGCCTAGCCTCCACCCCTAGGGGCGGGCAAGGGAGTCTGGAGGAGGGAATTCTCTTGCCAGAGTGCCCCCTGGTGGCCATTCCACTCTCTGTGGCAGAGGACAGAACCTGCCCACTTGCTAATGACGTATTTAGGGATAATGGGGTCGAGACAGGGTGACCTCATCACTGCTACATGACCTTGCTTCTTCCCTCCTGCTGGGTTTCCCAGTAGGCTGGAGTCCCAGCACCAGCTGTGGTTCTGGGGAGAGAGAGGAGGGAAGCCTGATCTTGGTACAGCTCTGGCTAGCATCCCTGGGGAGATACAGGCATGGTTGTTGTAGTCCTTTAGGTGGTTGGTCCACAGCAATACTGCTGTCCGCAGGCCTATTCACCCCAAACTTCAGGCCACCCATTTTCATCCTCTCGCTTCACCCGCATCCCAGCCTGCTCTTCCCAAAGATATTGACCAAGCATTTTTGTACAATAAAGTTTAATCACAATTATAAAAATGTGGCGTTGGGTTTTCACTATTAACATTATATACAATCCAGCCCAACAAGAAGGGCCTGCCCCCCACCATCCTGGCCCACTGAGCCAGAGCTCTGAGACACCAGGGTGGGAGGGTGACCCACAGGGTCTGGCAGGAACAGATGAGGCAGGGTTCCAGGCACAGAGTTCCCAGGACTAGGGGCCAAAGGCCCCCCCAGGGGGAGAACATGGCCACTGCCCCAGAGACCCCTAAATTGGGGAGGGGTGCATATAGGACAGAAGGGGAAGTCCCCACTAACATGAAGCAGAGGGCTCTTCAGCCCCCAAGAATAGCATCTATACAGGCTGGTACCCCAGGTTTCCACAGGAAACAGCTGCTGGCAGCTACACAACATTTACAGCTTCTTCTCCGCAAAGAAAAAAAAATTAAGAGGGTGGTTGGGCAAAGGGTATGGGGAGTCAGAAGTTACCTCAAAGGACTGAGGCTCCCTTGCTGGGCTCAGGGCCCCTATCCCCCATGTGGAGATGGGGGCATGTGGGCCCTGCTGAGCCCACTAAGGCTGGGGGTGCTGGGAGCTTAGGGCACCAAGGGGGAATAAATAGGGGTGAGGGCACTAGTCCTGCCCCACCTCAGTTGAGGGAGCCACGGCAGCTTTCAGTGCCGCACAGACACGGGATCTTGTTGTCCTCTAGTGGGAACTTGTAGTCGTAGGTGATCTCCTCATCCACGCCAATGGGCTGCTTGGAGTAGATCACAATCTTCTTCTGAGACTCGATGGTGATCACTTTAGCGTAGCAGTTGGGCTGCAGGAGGGGCAGTGTAAGCCGCAGCCCCACCTCACCCTTGCCCAGCCCAGCCCTGGCCCAGCCCTGAGCGCACCGTGCAGCAGTGGTTGATGAACCTGGCGAGGTTGCCACACTTGGTGGCATCAATGATGGTATCGTGATCCACCCGGAAAAGGTAGCTGCTGCCAATGCCCTCCTGAACGTAGCGTTTCTCCCGCATGTCAGCTACCATCTGGGAGGATGAGATGCACACGTCATGGACATCAGCCACTGCACGGGCTAGACTTGCTCCCAGCAGCTCCTGGGGTCAGGCTGATTGGATAAGCACCTGAGTCTACCTGCTCCCACCCATTCTGACCCAAAGTCAGCCACAGAAGGACTCTGGAGAAACCAGTATTGGCTCTTCGGAGAACCTGTGGCCACAGTGGAGCCAATAGTATGCTGTGGGCTTGGGGCAGCTTCTGAGATGACAGTGCCATGCCTTCAATTGAATCCTCTCCTAAGACTATCCTTCCCAAATAAGACACCTATGGGCAGCTGGCAAGAGCAGATGGCAGATGGTCTGTGCCAGGACAAAGGCTTTCAGCAAGGGGCAGCCATTCCCAGGAAATAAGCAATGCATTCTCCATTCTCACTGGGTGACCTTACCCCTTTGCAGAGTTCTAACCAGCAGTTCTGTGGTGAGGACTCCTCCAGGCTTCAATCTCCAGCCAAGTCCACCTCAGTAGGACTGTGGAATATCATCCCTACAACCCTAGGACCCTGAGCCTATGTCTACACTGGGACAATCCTGATCTTATTTCTGTTCCTTCTGTTGCTCCCAATCACATTCCTAGAAGCTAATGGGGATACCTTGAGAAAGACCTCAACACCTTACCTTCACCCTCTACGGCCAACTACCTGGTTCTGTCAACCACTCTGGACCCACAGGCTAGACTCCTGTCATCCCTGGGCCACTACCTCTTCCATACCTTGGCTTTGATCTGCCATTAAGCCCCACCGAGACCAGCCTACACAAGCTCTTTTCTACACAGCCAGAGGGAGCTTATTTAGCTTCTCAAGTCCTTGCTTGCACAGCTTCCAGGACTTTCCCCATCCATCCACAAGGTCACACTTGACTGATACGGTTCCAGCTCTGAGGAGTTGGCTCCTCTTGCATTTCCAGGCTCACATCTCTGTCACTAGCCCTGAACACATGCACTGGCCTCATCTTCCTAAGAGGATGCAGCTTCTAAGCCTTTGCACACGCTGTCCCCAGAACTGGAGCACATGTATCCTGCTGCCCCAGGAGTTCACGGCCCTTTAGCTTCCAGGGCTCTGGGAGGCTCTGGGTCACAACTTCTACAACTCCCTGGTATCAACACCATTCTTGACTATCATTGCTGCCCAGTGTTCCCGGGAGGCTGGCCTACTAACGTCTACTTTACTAAGTAAGTCTCAAAGCTGAGCAGTGGCAGTAGCAGTAATGAGTGAGGCTTTGTAAAAGCCTCAGATGATGGCGTGAAATCTCATGCTGTTGTACAGTCAGCAGCTGGGCTGATGCTGGCGCGGAACCTTACCTGGCGGATGTTCTGGCCAACATATTCTATCACCATCTCGTCAGCTGCGATGGGTTCCATGGCAAACAGACCCCACTCATGGATCCGGCTCCGGCCAAATCGGAGTTTCTTCTTCCGGAACTAAGAGACAGAAAGTAGCTTTAATGGTTTGATGCTCCCACAAACTTGCACCTTCCCCTGTCCCATAGGATCACACCAGGGGCAATCTCCTTGTTGTGGTTTTTTTCACTGGGTCTCCTCCCTCCTCCAGTTTCCCCTCCTGACCTTGAGCTGGTTTAGCTTTAGCAGATCACTATCCATGATGGCTGAGGTGCCAATGGCGCTCAGTAACCGCCGCTGCTCTGACCGTCGCTCAGAAAGCACCCGATTAGTCCCCTGTGAACAAGATTAAGGCGGTGGTGAGTGCTTGAAGGACTGGAAGGAGGAGGCAAGCTAGGGCTTGAGGCAGGGCTCTACCTGAGTGTCCACGCCTTCCAGCTGTCGCGCTGAGACAGGGCACACATCCAGGTACTTGTCCTTCTCCTTCTTGCTGATGGGATAGTAACCTTCGCTGCGTGCAGAGCCTGTCTGATGCTCCCGGGGCCCATCTTGGGGCCGTCGCTTGCGCTTTGGAGTGCTTAGGTTGGTGAGTGCAGGGTGTTAAGGAAGAGAACAGGTTCCCTACTGGCCAGTCCCTTGGGGCCCACACCTCCTGTCCACCCCAAACCCAGCCTACCCGGTAGCTGGTCCAACGGTGAGAACATTCAGGAAACAGACTGGATAAGGCAAGTCTAGACCTTACCTGTTGTGCCAGAAAAGACACAAGGCAGAGGGAAAAAGAGAGCTGGCAGCTAGAGAACCCCAAAGCTAACCAAGGCACAGTGAGTTATACAGATAGGAGACCAGTATACAATCCTAGAAGTGACCGGAGGATGACATTTCTGGCCACATGACCCCAAGGACAGCTGTCCCCACCCCAACCCCGTGTCTTGCTCTAGGGAATAAGCAGACTCTGTGGCTCAGGATATTTGTGTGATGGACCCAGTGGGTATCATTAAGCCAGTCGGCCCCACTGGTCTGCTGCAGCAGCCGCTCATATGTGAGTCGTAAGTAGCTCATGTCTTCCAAGTCCAGGCCTGAGTTCCAAATGTCATATAGGATGGTCATCTGCTCAAATTCACTCCTTGGTTCAAAGGAAGGAGGCGGTGGGGGTGGGGGTGGGAGTGGTGGCCGTCTTCGTCGAGTGTGGGAGCGGAGGCTGCGCCTCCTGATAGCTCCTTCCTCGTCACTGCTGCTGCTGCTGCTGCTGCTGCTTTCTGAAGACTCGGACTCCTCTTCCTCCTCATCTTCCTCTTCATCCTCCCCCTCCTGCTCCGGATGCTGCTGCGGCAACTGTTGCTTTGACTCCTCTGCCTCAGCCACCACCACCTCAGGGGCCTCCAAGACTTCATCAGCTGGGGAGCTGAAGAGTGCATCCAGGGCAGGAGCTGGCTCTAAGGGCCGAGGTGCTGGTGTGGCAGGTGGAGGCTTGAGGGCCAGGGCATAGTTGTGTTCCAAGAGGATATGGCTGAGTAGAGGACTTGGGCGTTCAGCCTCGTCTGAGGTCTCTGTGGCCTCTGAGTCGTCACCAGTGGGTAGGATAGCTAACCCACGTCTGGCTGGGGTCAGGGCTAGATCAGCCAGCACTGCCAGGTCTACTTCTGTCCCTGACTCAGTGGCTTCTTCTTCTTCAGTAGAGCGGACACGACCTCCAGCCCGATTCCGACCCCCTCGGGTCACCTCCTCAGGCCAACTCTTAACTAGAGATGCATGGTCCAGGGGCAGGTTCCGAATGGTCCGCTCCACAACCCGGGGAACTTTTCGAGAGACTGGACCAGGAGACTTGGCCTGCAGTGGGGCAGCTGGGGGAGGCTCTGGGGTTGGTGTCTCCTCAGCGGCAGAGAAGGAGACAGTTTTCCGGCGTTTCTTGGGTGGGGGTAGGAGAGGGATAGGAGAAGAAGGACGCTCATCCAGGCGGGGGGCAGGGTCTGGAGGTCCAGCTGGTGGCTCTGGAGGAGGCTGCGGTATATTAGGAGGTGCTTCCTCAGCAGTACCTGGGGATGGAAGCACGTGGGCAAAGGCCAACTTCATCAGACAAA